AACTGATCCAGCATCCATTTCTTGTGATTTTGTTAAATGATTTTGTATACTTTTAGATGGTTCTTGAAGGAACTGATCCAGCATCCATCCCTTGTGATTTTGTATACTTTTAGATGGTTCTTGAAGTAACTGATCCAGCATCCATTCCTTGTGATTTTGTTAAATGATTTTGTATACTTTTAGATAATTCTTGAAGGAACTGATCCAGCATCCATTCCTTGTGATTTTGTTAAATGATTTTGTATACTTTTAGATGGTTCTTGAAGGAACTGATCCAGCATCCATTCCTTGTGATTTTGTTAAATGATTTTGTATACTTTTAGATGGTTCTTAAAGGAACTGATCCAGCATCCATTTCTTGTGATTTTGTTAAATGATTTTGTATACTTTTAGATAATTCTTGAAGGAACTGATCCAGCATCCATTCCTTTTAATGATTCAAACATGAGAAATCTTGTTCAAGAAGTGTCAATTAAGGTGAGCAAAATACACCTCAAAATTAATGTAAAATCTGTACAATATTTAATGTAAACAAAAAAATTGGTTGTTTAATTGGTTGGTACCAAAGTTAATGCCTATAACGTAAATTACCAGCTGTACTTTTTAACTCATTATACATGTGTGGTACTCCAAGGTGCACTTCACTAACAGGTAAGTATTAAGTATCACAGTACTGGAAGTTTTATGGAAATAACTGCAGGAAAATAAAATTAAAACAACAAGAAAGAAAAGTTGAATGCAAGTGTAAAATAGTTGAAAGTGTTGAATGCAATCTTTATTGATAGTAATTGTTGAATATTTAGATTTAACACTTCATCTGACCATCTTCTATAATTCTGATTGAAGCCAGTCATTTATTTGCTCCACCCCTTTACTTGGATATTATCCACACTCCAGGGGAGTTTCAATATAGAAGTATGGTCAAGAAAGTATACACCGTTTTTGAATGATCATCGTGGTATGTAACAATGACTTGGGGTGATAATTCAAACACGTCTGTGACTACCTACTTTTTAAAAAGATGTGACTAAATGTAGTACACCTCCATTAATATTTTTAAAAAATCTTAAATATATCTGAAAAAGATATGTTAATTCTAGTTATGGAAGGATAAAATATGTCTGTTTCCAACTGTTACAATACCCCAACCATATTTGATCTATAAAAATCAACATTAAAGGCCAAAGTTAAGTGTGCCTAAAAATTGTAATCATGACTTCTGTAATGATCTCCATCACACTTACACAGGGAGGCAAATAAAGAAACCTTATTGGACATAAAGACTTCAACAACCAACTAATTAAAATATAATTTGTAAGTTACAACTGAAAATAGTCATAGTAAACTAAAATAAGGCAAGGTTAAGCTCAAATGAAGACTCAAAAATAGAAATGAGCTCAAATAATAGCAGTAAGACATTTCAAAATAATACCAGATAAACTCAAATTAAGCATGGAGGTAAAACCTAAAAGAAATCCAGATAAAACTAAAATTAATTATAATAAAACACTACTCAAAATATCAGATAAAAATAAGATACAGATGAACTAATTATGTAAGTAGCAGTTACAATTAAGGAATAAAATATACATCTTGTAAACCATACAGAGCAAAACTAAATGCAGATAAAACTAGATGTAAACAAGTACTAATTCCTAAATAACACTATTACCTCTTCTGATACAAAATTAGTGATAAGGAAATTTGATAACAGAATAAATTAAAATCTTAATGGTACACTTACAAAAAACAACTAATCGAAAGAATACAAAAGGTAATATACAGAGTGAATAAAGTAAAACCAAGCAGAGAATATATGAAGAGAAAAAAGGGAAGAACATCAAATGAATATTAGATTTATGCCTATTGCTATTACAATGAAAGTGGCCCGTGTAACTGCAAGGCAGGGTCTGGCATGGCCTGGTGGTTAGGATACTTGACTCGCAAACTGTGATGTGATGTGTTTGAATCCTTGTCACTGAACATCCTTGCTCTTTCAACCACAGGGAAATTATAATGTTATGGTCAATTAAATTTTGTTGGTAAAAGAGTAGCCCGAGAGTTGGCAGTGGGTGGTGTTGACTATCTGCCTTCCCTCTATTCTATCACTACTAAATAAGGTCTCGATTGATATTTGAGTCACTAGAATATTTTGTTCTTGCTTACTGTGCTTTCTATTACCAAATAAGGCTTACCTAATGTATTGGCATAGAAGAAAGTTTCCTTTGTTTTCAAATAAATATAATTTAACACAAAAACCTCTTAACCCTTTTGCCTCGGGTATGTTAAAGTGCACGTTTCACGACGTTTTGGAAGATTATTTCCAAAATTTTATTAAATAACATTTTTACTACTTACATCAATGAAATTACGTAGTTTATAATTTAAATTTTGATATTATATATGTTTTAATTTCTTAATTTAAAAGGAAATGTAAAGACAAAAATGTTAAATATCAATTTTGTGTGTCACATAACATGTCCAGTTGTCTTATTGTTCAGTTGCCATTTTATTATGCCCACCATACAACATGTATAAGTAGCTAACGAATTAGAAACTTGAATTTGAAATATAGGCAAACTAAATATAAAATAAGAACCTCCCTCCTCTATCATTTGGTGAGGTAGCAATATTTTTAGTGAGTCTACTAGAGTGGCTCCTCCCACTGCACCAGTCTTTTGAAAGCTCTTATCTAGTCCCACCTACTACTAATTAGCTACTGCTTATAACCAATAGAAAGAACATTTTCACCCCTACGTAACTCTGACAAATGTTTATAAATAGCTTGAAGGAGAAAATAATAATTTTGCTAAAACCATTGAAGGAATGGGATTTTTTTAACCCACATACACTTTATTTAGAGACCCGACTAAATTAAAGGGATTTTGAGTGTACTAGTACAGTAATTTGATAACTTTTGGGTCTTCAAAAATTCATATTTGAAGCCTAAAAAAATTAGTATCTTCATCCAGAAGAATAAACGAGGCTTACGTCAAGGCTTAGCAAGTTTGATGCACGAGCGCAACATTTCGTAACACTGTTACGTACTCGAAATCTTTGTTTGTCAGTGTATTTCTCATTTACTTTCTAAGTGTGGTGAAAGCGAAAGAGGGTAGTATCATTTATAAGAATGTGCCCAAATAACACCTTCATGTACTTATGCTGCAAAATTCAACACACATCAAATGGGTGACCATAGTACTGAAACACCTGCTATGTAATTGGATAAGCTCAGAACGATATAATAAATGTTTTTACACATTCTAATTGCAATTTTATTACCCAGGGAAATTTCTGTTGAAAGTGTTGTAGGAACTATAAACTGCTATATCCCATATTATGTTCTCGGAGCAAGGGGAATGTGACCTCAGTGAATACGCGTGCGTTTTTGCAATCTAGAGTTTTGTATTATGGTTGTATGTAAACACTGTGTCTTATAACACGGGCGGTGAATTATTGCTTTTTTGTCAGCGGGTTTGTAATTTGTCGGTGACAGTAAAATACATGGGATATGTTTAGTAGTTGAAACTGTCAGGGGAAGAACTTTGAAACTTCATGATCAATAATGAAGAAAAATGAAACAGCTGCTCACTATATTTCTGCTTTTACAATTTTTCTTTTCATTCTACTTCAGTGAGTTGTCTACAGGCTGAAGAATCAAATAATAAATGTAATAACAGGTAAAATATAATGTTTTATTGAAGAAAAAAATGGTATATGTATTTAGGAGGTTTCAGAGGTTGTGCAAATGAAATTCGAGATTTTTGAAACAATGAAAAGTATTTTAAATCTTAAAATGAAAATCACTTTGCACTCAGACTAGTTAAAAAAAAAGAATCGATATTTTCACAGAAAAATGTAAGTAAAAATACTTCATTAAATATCTGATTTTTTGTGTGCAAAAGGCTTCTAATGTTTACTATAAGTCTACAAATTTTGAAAAGATACACTTAAAATATTAAAAGTTATAGTATGAAAATTATAACAAGTACAAAATGGTTATGAGGTCGGTCCTAGGGACCAAGCTCATGTCAAAAGAGTTAAGCAACAAAAAGACTGTTTAAAGAAACTTTACAAAAATTCCAAAATTTATGGTTTGTTCCTGAGTCTTTTAATCTTGCCACTACATTTGGTTCTTCTCTGCATGAGATATGTCTTGTAAATTTCTCACAAAAACTCAAATTACTCCTCACACCACTTTATTAATTCTACATTGATATAGAAGTTTGTAATCTGCTCTGTCAAGCGATATTTAAATTACTGTAGCTACTTTGAAAGCTGAGTTTCATTAGTAGTTGTTCAATCACCTGCTGTACTAATAGAATTCAGTGAAAGAGAAGAAAAATCATGTGATAAACTATACATTGATAATTATGTTCTCAAGAAATAATAGTTTTTTAGCAAATGTAAACCTATGTTTTGGGATAGGCAAAAAAATTAAAACATTGATAAGTGCACTGTTTAGTGATGAGACTTCTGTGCAAAAATGGGAGGTCCGAGACACTACCTCACTTCTGCATACAGAATAGCTTGATTCCTTTGTACATCTGCCTATGAGATTTGCAAGCTGATACTGTATTTTTCGGTTTATAAGACGCACCTTTTTTACCCCAAAATTTGACGTCAAAATCTGCTTACGTCCTATACACCATAGGTATGAATAATAATATATATGTATATATACGATATACACAAGCCATGTGTAAATATATTTAAATAGGCATGCATAGTTTAGTTTAATTGAATGTGTTATTTATAACAATAGTAGTTTTTTTTTCTTTTAAAAACATAACTATTTATAATGCTCCCTAAATAATAAAAAAATAAATTACAGTGAAAGCAATGAAGATTTTGTAGGTTTTGAACCAAACTAAATTACAGTAAACCTTTTTTTGATTTACGGTATTTTCTTATTTTGATGTTTTGAGCTCTTTTGTGTTTAGAACAATATATACTAATTTTTTAATTTTAAAAAATTACAAGTTTAAACAAAGTCGTTTTTAACTGATTTGAATTCTACTAATGCTCAACAGATGGTTTTATTCGCCTAACGACAGGAAAGTTGCAAAAGTCTTTCAAAAGTCTAAATCAAAGTAATCTTCAAAAGTCCAAATCAAAGTTTTCTTCAAAAAGTCCAAATCAAAATTATCTTCAAATGTATAAATATAAGTATTCTTCAAAAGTCCAAATCAAAGTTTTCTTCAAAAGTCTAAATCAAAGTTTTCTTCAAAAGTCTAAATCAAAGTATTCTTCAAAAGTTTAATTCAAAGTATTCTTCAAAAGCTGAATTCAAAGTATTCTTCAAAAGTCTAAATTAAAGTATTCTTAAAAAGCTTAATTCAAAGTATTCTTCAAAACTTAAATCAAAGTATTCTTCAAAACTTAAATCAAAGTATTCTTCAAAAGTCTAAATCAAAGTATTTTTCAGAAACCTAAATCAAAGTATTCTTTAAAAGTCTAAATTAAAGTATTCTTCA